TGAAAAAATATCGACCCGTATCAAACTTGGGTTTAATCTCATAAGTATTGGAGAAAGTTGTGGCTCGTAGGCTTGATGCCCACTTGGATGTGAATTCTCTTAGCGATCCGCTTCAGTCGGCATATCGTCCCAGGCACTCCACGGAAACTGCCCTCATCAAGGTCCACAATGAGCTTTGGACCAACAATCTTCAGCAGTCCTTGTCCTTCTGGATTTATCCTCTGCTTTTGATGTTATTGATCATAAGATACTGTTCCAACGCCTAACTGTGTCTTATGGATTCCGTGATGGTGCTCTTGAGTGGATCAAGTTTTACCACAAGAACAGAAAACAATGTGTCACAATTGGATCCCTCCGATCAGAGTCAAGACAACTGCCTTTTGGTGTCCCCCAAGGATCTGTACTCGGACCGAAATAATACTGCCTCTTCTCCAAACCCTTTGGAATCATATGCCATCGACATGGAATGATATATCACTGCTCTGCAGATGATTCACAAATCTACATGAGTATAAAACTATTGGAAAATTATTGGAACAATTATATCTCTCGACTTGAAGCGTGTCTTAGCAAAATTGGTCCATGGATGACATCTAACCTACTCAAACTAAACCAAGAAAAGACCGAGTTAATAATCTTCACCACAAAGCAACACCAGAAGCATCTGCCAAAATGAAAAATTCAAAAGTCCAGAACACAGCAGCTTGTCTACTAACAAGATCATCGAAACGGGAGATATTACACCTATCCTAGCTGATCTTCATTGGTTACCCGTTTCATTTTGTCAAAAGACAATTAATGACGCATATTTAAGAATAGTTTTTTAATTGTCTTGTCAACAACTTTTAGCAGCAAATCCAAAAATATGTTCCTTTATTGACAACTTTGTTAATGGATTATTTTGTATGTAATTCTAGTATTTCAATGTTATAAATTCGTACACATTCAAGTATGTTTTAATAATTTATATTTGTATTCATAGCTATTAAATTACATTTACTTGCGTTTTATTGTACAGCGCTTTAGAATTAATTTATTAATATTTAGCGGTTTATAAATTCATATACTATTATTATTATTGGTAGTTATTCATCTTCATCAAAAACTTTTGACCATGCACTTTCCTGTGATCTTGATTTAAAAAAAACCCATTTAAGATATTTCTATCTAAGCATGCACTTATACATAATTTGGTGAGAATTAATCATACTTTATTCATTTTTATTATATTTCGTTTTCAATTTAAAGAAAGTGGTTAAGAAATTTCATCAATTTTTATAGACTAATACTAATTTTCATGTCGCTTTTAATTACTACTCTGCACTCACTGGGAGATTCTTGTCCTATTGACATATTTCTACTTATTACATAAGTCTGCAATTCATGAATTCAAAAACAAAGACTAGCTTTAAAATATACCTTTTTTTCCTTCCTCGATTAAAAGTGTACTGCTTTGATTTTCTTTGGCTGCTGCTGAAGGAAAGAGTACAAGAAACATTACTCGTCACTACAATAAGACCATATAATTACGAAATGCTGACTTAAACCGAGGTTCTTGATATCTCTGTAACCTCAACTTTACTGTCGGTAACATCGGTGTAAAAACTGTTCGTACTCGGGGCATACTCGTTAGTATTGGATTATTTGGGAGATGTAAACACCATATACAAATGAAAGTAGATTTATACTACATATTGAAACAGAAAATTTGTCGATGGAAAAAAGACCTTGTTTATCGGTATAATTTAGTTGCTAGTAGGTCATTATCGTCTATAGATAGCAAAATAGCCAAACATTAAATAGATGTAGCGGCTTCTCTTTGTCTTTTTTATTAGAAATTCATAGTGATAGATCGAGTCGACTTATGAATGGACGTAACAATTGTTGATTGATTACGCCGGTGGCCTGTTGCATGCTAAGCGAAAATCTTTCCCCTCTGCCATCGACAAACTTGGTACAGCGGGGATTTAAATGCAAACAATATGCTACATACATATCCAATACATGTTTATATTACTTTCTACATTGTAAAAAACTGACCCCAAAAAGTGTGTCTAATTTAGCCTCTACTTAACTGTTTGATTTTAAAATTAATCTTAACTCTTTCTGCCATAGAGGGTTGTCATAAAGATTTTAATTGCAAACGTCCAAAGGCTTTTAGAGATATCGCTTGGAAATGAAAGTGTTTTTGACAGACAGAACTAGATTATCTGATTCATTACAGATTTAATCGTCGGTTTATTTTTGGTTATATATAAATTTAAAGAGAGGTTTTGATGATTTTGAAACAAAATTAATCTGATATACCTTCATTAGTTTTTCTTGTATTTTTTCTCAAATTCTCATTCCCAATTTCTTGTGCAGTATCCTTACTTAACTCTTGAGTATCCTCTGTTAAAATAAAGATTAAACTGAAATGTCATTGTATCTTGATTAATGAAATAAACCTGATAGTGCTAATGCTAAGTTTAATTAATAAGCTCATAAATCTGTCAATGAAGCACCCTTAACAAATCTGGAAAATTACCGTTTTTATAAATACCATGATATAAACCTTTAAAGGAGGCGACAAAAATAAACATTATTTTGTTATACCTTTAAAAATTTGTTCCTATACAAATCTATACCAAAAAATCTAACATTTCTGATGTATTGCTGAGCGGGTAAAAAAATCAATGTTGTAGCGCTGGGCGAGATGTTGGACCGGTCGATGAGATGTTAAACCGCTTATGTCACAGAAAGGGGCAGAGCTTAATCTCATTTTCATTCGTTTGTGTTCAACAGTAACCGACCTAAGGTTACATCAAGGGAAAAAATGAAAGGTATAACAAAACAATTGTTGGCTATGTTCTTGGGCTAAATGCATTTTGTCGACCCTCATACACAACTGTCTGCCTTCAGCCTAACGGCCTCAGGCAGACAGTTAGGTTCTTGATTCTGACAAAAGGCATGTTGCTCTCAAATTCAGTCAATACATGTATAATTTTTTGTTTAAAAAAATCAGTGCGTGAAAAACTAAATGTTGTGCTCAAATAAGGCGTCCTTAAGACACGTTTATAAAAAGATAAAAATAAACTAAATGAAACAATTAGAAAAAATCGACGTATCCCTGGGTATAGCCTTTTGTATATATATATATAAAAAAAATAGATAAAAAACTATGTTTATCAAATCTAGGAAATGCTGCGAGTATCTTGCCTTCTTGTCTGAGAAATAACTTTTCAAAATTAATCATGAAATGTCACCAAATATTTATAGTTTGCTTGTATAGTTTAAGGATTTTCATAATTTGTATTTGCCATGCAGTTCTAGCAGCATTTTAGTATTTTACACTGGGTTCATTTTTCTAATCAAATATTACCTGTTGTATGCAATAAATTCTATAAACAACCAAGAAATGACATCCAAATATAATTTGTCTGCAGTTTACTTTAAATTGGAATGACGGAGAAAGAGACAAATCGGGGAAATGAGTTGAATAGATTGTTGGGGAAAATAAGAAATACAAAGCTTGCACGTATGGATAAAATCTGTGCAAATATTGTAATGATTATGCCTTAGGCTTTATGAATCATCAGATAATGCTTCGGAAAAGAATACTAAGATTATTATTTCAAAATTGAAAATAAATTCACATGTATATAAGGCCCATAAATATTGCTATTTTTTCTCGGTACGCAAACTTTCTGCTTCTACAAAATCTTCCCCTAGAGCCGTGACTATTAAAAAAAATTATACCATTTATGATTTCTACCAAAACATTTTACAGAGTGTGACAAATCTGTTTTATATTTGAATATTTTATTTGAAAAAGACGTTAATGGTAATCTAACATCCAAGCTTTTTGACAAATGCATTTGATAGAAATACTTACCATCTTTAACAATTAGATGAATTTCTTTGCAACCTTCACCGAGGATATTTTCCACCACGACTTTATAATATCCCCTATCTTCATCATTTGCATCATTTATAACGAAAAAGTCAAACGTACTCCCCTTGTATTTTTCCAAACTTAAGTCAATGATTTTTTTGTTTATTACTTTATTTGTTCCATGTTCCTTTTCCACTTTATACCATCTAATGCAAGAAGCCTCAGGATATGAGGATTGCATGACTACAAATGATGCTGTTTCACCCTTATAAACAAAATTTCCACCAATAACGTTGACCTTAGGCTTAACTGTGAATGAGATATTATGGAAGTTAAAATTCAAGCCAATATCATTTGCATGGTTAGGTTTATAGGAAAGGTATACAAAGGGTCGTTCAAACCAAATAAAGAAATATATGTGTGATGTTATGAAATCTATTTCTGCATGTACTTATTCGTTTTTATCATTTTATTAGTTAATCTTTATCGTTTGAGAAAAAAAAAATGTTAAAATTTGATTAGGCGCAAGTTCGATTGCGCATCTGAATTGAGTTGCTAAAGAAACGTTTTATTCTATAATTCCATTGGTTCTTATTTTTCATTAGTTATTTCCTATTTTTTCATCAAATGATACATTTTCATTGTTAGTTTAAATTTATCGCGCTTTGCTTTTGTACGTCAGAGCAGTAATACGTTTTCAAGAAATAAAGAAGTTATAATCCAGTGTCAATCATATACATCCTATGGTATGTAAGTTATGCATTTTATTATGTGTTTCCTTAACATTTAAAGAACGCAAACAATTTACTTTATTGTATTTTTGCCTTCAAAGTTGTAACTGAAATAATAATAAGTCTGTAAGATTTTATTTTTGCATTGTTTGCAGTTAACATTTTTTCTTTCAAACAGTTCATTTTTCTTAAACTTTACTGTAGGTAAATTGTCTCATGTTATTTTCATAATTCCTGTAATTGTGACTTATTACATACTTTGTTTTTTTTTTTAATCAATGCTTTTATTTCCTTAATGATGAAGACTTAACATTGCATTGCTGCTCGGTTTCACACACGCATATATATAAGCATATTGTAAGTCAGAGTTATTTTCTTTCTTTCATTTAGATCATCTATTTAAAATTGTGTTGTGTAAGTAAAGTAAAACACTCACATCCCAAGACCTCCAATTTGAAAATCTCCTCTTTATTTTCATTTAGAGTAAGTTTGTATTCGCCCTCATCTCTTTTATAAGCTCTTCTTATCATTAACTTAGGGTTTGGTAGTGTTGTGCAACACGTTACACGTTCTGGATCTTCACTTATATCTTTGAATTGCTTCATCTGGGGACTTTTATATGTCCATTTTAGATTTACATTATCGCCAATGAATGCTGTTGCCTTTTCTAGAGAAACAACTGTACTTCTCATACAAACGGCCTCACCAAGAAGTACTGTCTGTATGCGTAATGATGTGTCTTCGAAATCTAGAATATCTATATTAAGAATGAAAATAATAAACAGTAATCAAATCCATTGAAACGATGCAAACTTGGAACAGAAGATAAGTGAGTTTCTGTTTAAAAACTAATCTAGTTCCCAGTTAATGATGATGGTATTTTGATTTTATTATCGGTAGATAAAATTATATACCTGTTAAGGGACGTTCCTCTTCTGAAAGTGCTGAAAAATAAAAATAAAAAATTTCGGCATTTTTTGAAGTTACTTTCCTAGAAATGCAATTTTTACACTTGTAAAGATAATCCATATAGATAGTTTTTCGACTTTTTTTCTTCACTTTCTCACTATTTATAAATAGTGTACCTCGAGAAACAATTTCTTTGTCAAGGTTGTCCAAGTTTTCCCTTTAGGGTTGTTGCAATTAGTATGCATCTAAATGTTTTTAGTATTCTATATTCTTAGCTTGATGTGATGATATATGTCTTCTGCATAATAGCAAGTGTAAATAACACAATCTAAAACCCTCAAATGGATATTGTTGTCTTTCAATGTCATTTAATAAGAGCCTGCTATACGAACAATCAATCTATAAATCAAAACAGGCTACGAAAAAATACTTTGATATCCATGTATTTTAAATGTTGGTACATCCCCTTGTTAGATTAAATTTAATAAAAAACAAGTTAGGCAATTGTTACTGATGTAATTATTTGCATGTAAACTACATATATATGTGCTCCTAATAAAGATGTCGAAATATAAAATTATCTTTTAAAAAACTTCAGGATTTTAAAAGATGAAAAAAAGCGTAAATTTCAAATGGGGAAAATTGCTAAGCATCATTTATGAGATGAGAAATAAAGGCAGAACCTATGTCGAAAAAGTAGTTGTTACAAGATTTTCAAACTTCCCAAAATGATAAATTAGTACTTGCTTATCAATCAGTTAAAAACTCTTGTTAAGTTTCCTTGTTTTTAAATCTAGTACAGCCTGTGAAACTTGATATGTTAATTACATACTGCGACTACACACTTGTAGGGATATTTGTCAAGAAGAGAAAATGAAAAATCACAAAAGTACCTTTTCAGAGATCGTTGCTTATAGACTTTATTAACTGAACAATATTAAGCAATATTTCTCAAGAATAATTTCTTTTTTATTCAATTGACATAAAAGATAAATCCACATTTTTAAAAAGAATAGGCAAATGAAGTCTATTTTTTAGTCAATTTTCCACCCTACATTTGTAAATATTTTTCAGAAGTCTTTGTCACAATGTTTTCAATCTTTAATATGATGAAGAACATACCCAAATGATTACAAAAAATGATTAATATATATACCTTTCGCCGCGAACTAATGAGAGATAGGTTATTTACCGATGCTAATATTCTTGACACTTACTCGGGATTTAATTATTAAATTTCTGTTTGGGGTTACTTTCAGATTAAAAATGTTTACCAAAATTTGTACTTTTTATTGAAAAATATAATACTTGATAGAACAATTGTAATCAAACACCAAGAATATGAATAAGTAACAAATAATTATGAAAAGGAATGCACATCAATTCATGATAGATATCACAAAAAATGTACAAACGATCGCACGATCTACAACACGTACATATTTGACTTAGACTCATTTATCAAGATGGTTGGTAACTGAAGATTTCGAAGGATTTTGCATACCTTAAAATGTCTCCATACCATTCACATTATTACAGTACGTTGTATAAATTGTTATTTCATTCCACAAGATAGGGTCCTACAGTCTTGGATTTGTAAATGAAAGGTGCCTACAGGTTTCTCTAATTCCAGAAATATATTGTCATTGAGCATTAAAACCAAAAAATATATAAATTGAATTAAGATTATTTCGGCATGATTTTGAATTGAATTCTGTGAATTTTTATTAAAAAAAAAATGCAGTATTTTCCACAATTTCTATTGAAACTGTAAAGTACGGAAAAAAGTGACATTGATTTAATTATGACGTCATAATTGATCTAGCATAGGCTAAACACATTCACTAGCTATGATGTCATACGACGTAGGTTCATATGAAACATAATTTGAGCATAATCGGAATTAAATTCAGACTGCATTTGTGAAAATAAACTATTGAAGTCTTTACATGTAATCAGATCATCCAATACTTGCTTCACATGAAATGCCTATAGTGTTACCCCTTTCGTTCAGTCAATCCTTCCTTTCAATCTTCTGTCATATTTTTAAAAAATTAATATGTAGACTTGATATATATCCCAGATAACTCCCATTAAATAAACCTCATTTTCTGACAAATATCTTTCATATTTGGAAGTTTTACTGTCAATATACAATAAGGGCCAACTAAAAGTTTCATTGTATGATAAACTACCCGCAGAACTGTAGCTCAGTTGTTGAGAAAAATTGGACAGATAATCCAAAGATTTACCGATTGAAGCATTGTAAAATCTTTTGAATTCAATTTAAGGCGCCATTATTATTATTTATTTCTATCTTTTTGGTCATTTGCTCCTGAAATGTATTTTTATTACATTAATTCAACAGCTAAAAGGATGAAAAACTGTTCACTGACCTATTTTGTACTCATCAATTTATTTCTTTATTAAGATTTTGGCGCCTCCAAACAGCCTAATATGAATTTTAAATATCAGTTTCCCCACGCCCATGCTTCACCAGTAAAAGAACACATCGGCAGATTATAAATGACAATCAAAATATATTTATTTTTATAAATTGTATGCTTTTTGTCAGACTTCAAGGACATCGAACTTCAACAATCGTATTTTTTAAAATGGACGCAATAATTTTAAAAAGATGTCTTCCATTTTGGGTAGTTTTTTGGTTAATGAATTTCAAACTAATTGTACAGTCTTTGATCTATACAAACAATGCCTAGAGATTATACCGTTTACATGATCAAAACATGGGGCTCACGGCAGATTTGACCAGTCAACAAGGGATGCTTTATTCCCCTAGATACCTCATCCCACTTCTGGAATTTGCGGAGGATTACGTTACATGGCCTGTTCATAAACTTGTTTTGTTTGTAGTTTCTTTTACTTCGATAGATTAGAATTTTTTTTGACAAGTGACCCAATTCTACGCAGCAGAATGTTTTTAGACTCCTATCTATATTAGATTTCTTTTGACAAATTTATTTCATTTGGATGAGAGGTCAAGTCCTTAGTATTGTTAAAAAAAGCTTACTAGTATTCTATATTTATCTTCAAAACAAGCACATTAAATACAACGATCTTTTAGAATGAAGTGTAAAACTGCAAAAAATATATAAAAATAAAATTGAGAAAGACAACTCACATTTTCTCCGACTTCCCTTTATCCATAATATAAAGCAGATGACACCAGGAGTGAGTAGTACAACAATTATTGCAATGATTATGGCTGCTAGGCATATGTCATGGATTTCTTGGCCCTCCCTTCTAAAATCCAAAATAAATATCAAGTCCTTAGTCAGCTTCCATGCATACGTGTAAAAATATTTTGCATTTTTACAAGACTATTAAATTGATAAAGATAATACAAATTGCAAGATTTAGGTCTTTCAAGTATTTTTATGCGCCCGGATCGATACATCTGGGGCGTATATTGATTTTGTCCTGTCTGTTTGTTTGTTCATTTGCAAACATTAACCTTTGCCATAACTTTTAAACCATGAAAGATAAAGACTTCATATTTGGTATGCATATTTCATTAAATAAGCTCATTCAACTGACACCAAGGACAATGACCTTGTGACCTTTACTGTAACCTATATGCTAAAAATTGCTTTTTGTCAGCAAACTTTAACGTTCACCATAACTTGGGAACCTTGAAAGATAGAGCCTTTATATCTAGTATGCAAGGTAAATGACACTGTGACCTTGACTGTGACCTATATGCTAGATATCCTAGAAATAGCTTTTTTGAACCTTCATCATAACTTTTATACCATGAGAGATAGAGACTTCATATTTGGTATGCATACGCCACAAGTTATTTTCTTTCAATCACACCAAGGTAATTGACTTTGTGACCTTGACTGTTACCTATATGCTAAAAATAGCTTTCTCCGATTTTGTTGCCGCTGGGCGCATCGTGTTTCACAAACACATTTTGTTTTTTTTTTTTAATTTTCACATATGGTATTAAACACTTGTTAGATAGATCTAAAGCTACATGAAACTCTATACCAACCGATACAATTATAAAATCATTGAAAAATAATTATTAATAACTAATTTGTACTATATGAATGTTTGTTTGGACTCATGTGTGAATAAGTGTTGATTTATGAGTAATCGTTTATAGGAATGATATATTAGGCTGCTTCAGTCGGTATTTTTTTAATGAAGCGCATTGAAGTGGTAGAATATTTTTAATTTGAATAAAAAGTTTTAGCATGATGACACGTTTTTCTTTTGAAAGGAAAACTGCACTCAAATGGTTAATTCGAATACTAGTGGAACAGGTATTTCATAAATATAATAACCAATCAAATTTACAAGTTACATACACATGTAAACACTTGTTTGATCGATAAAATCATGTGTTTTGGTAACTCCATTATAAATGAGATGACTTCAGGATTTTTGTCAACATTTCTTGTTTATCTAGTGGCATTCCACTATCAACGCATATGGTGTTTACTTCTCCAAACTTAGTTACTGAACGGCAAGTTCTGAGTAAGTTCAATATTAACCCGAGGCTGTGTATTGACAGATAAGTTGACGTTTCATGGATTTCAACAATCTAGTTTAAAGTCAGAAACCTATGAATCTTTAATATGGATGTAATTATGACATTTTCAACAAATGAACCTATCGTTGGGTTGTATTTTTGCTGATGTATTTTATTCAATTTGTTAGGCTGGGTTTTTTAACACTTCAACTGACTATTTAATGTTCTTTTATCTGATCAATAACTTTGGCTAACGTCCGGTTTGACCGGTCAACAAGATACGCTTACTACTCCTAGACATTTGATCCCTCCTCTGGAATTGCTTTGATTCGTGTCTTAGGCCCTTCTCACAGATTTAAAATGTTAATAGAATTTTTTAATAGACGCTTTTCGCTATCTTTATATTTTTATAATACTTTAATGAGTATTATACACCTATTGACCTGGATTGAGGGCAATATGTGTTTCAACTTGTCTTGTTTGACCAGTCGATAAATCGCATTTTGCTCAAGATAACACTCATTAAATGTTTTGTATAATTCCTTTATTTTTTTTTTTACATGTATCTTGTCCTTGCTTCCATAATGATGATTTTCTTACCCTATTGTGGTTAAACTACTTCAATTCTGTCATTGTCAAATGCAATAAATGTTATTCAGATTTAGTTGATCCCGCTAGTGTGGGGTAAATGGACAATTATCTCAATGACGTCCAATATCTCAGTCCGCAGTCAAACATCAACTTAGTTATGACCGCTAAGAAAAACATTAGAAATATTAGACTTTTCAAGGTACAGGAACTCATTTTGAAGATTTAACAATAGTATTTATTTTGACAAGCTTTGACTATTACAATATAAAAAATATTTTGCAAATGGCAAATTGCGAACTGCGATCTTAAATCTCATTGCCCCTCAAAGAAGGACATATACATGTATCACAGGTTACTGCACAGTAAATCAATTGAAAGCACTGGCTGCAATATACACCAACTATTCTAAAATAATTCAATGTGTTGTTCTGACTACACTGCTTATTGTATGATGAATTGATGTGTATTTATGTGTATAAGATGTAACACTGATATGACAAACCAAATTTGGCATTGACTAAACGGTATATAGCACTGACTTAGGGAATAACTATCTTCTAATTTGGTATTTGCGACCGTTAGTGCTGATTTAACGGTCGCAAACTGAGTTTTACCGGCAACGCGTAAGCGGAGCCCGTAAAACGGATGTTTGCGACCGTTAAATCAGCGTTAACGGTCGCAAACACTAAATAAGAAAATCAGCTATTCCGATTCTAATGCAATCCATGCATTTTTTATGGAAGGTAATCGTGTTCAAAAATCCAGACTTGTAAATTTGTAAATGCAATCTTGTAAGTTTATAAATTTGTAAATGCAATCTTGTAAGTTTGTAAATCCAACCTTTTAATCGTATCAGTTTAATAGTGTACATGTACATATGTTAGTAGGTAATTCAGACATCCAAATATGTAGTTCTGAAATTACAACTGTGTTGACTTTAAGTTCGAATTATGAATGTGTGTATCTTTGATGTTGTAAACTTTGTTTTCCGGAATTTATATTTCCGCGCTATGAATTAAACACAAAGACAAATCACAACTCTACAAATGTAAAGTCTATCTGTTTGTCGATTATTGATTACGAAAAACTATGGAGGACCATCAGTGCCACAATTCCTTTTTAATATATTTTTAAAATTTTTATTATAACTTCTTGTTTTCAAAATTAATTACATGTAAATTCTAACGACTTTATTTCCTTCATGGCCGTAGGGGCCGGGGGACGGTTTTGTCGATATACATATATAGAGAATACTCTAGAAAATATAACTAGTATATGCTTGTGCCCCCTCAGTTTAAAAAGTCTGATGACTTTTTTATTGGGGAGGTGTGTGGGGAGAGGGTTTAGTTGATATTTAAAACAATTCAACTCTGAACTTCCCGGCCATGGCTTACGAGGTGTCTTCTACCTATTCCCACTTTGTAAAAATCTCAATTCCACCTATTACCACTTGAAAATAACAATAGATGTTTAAATAGATAATTTGGTTTTACGGTAATTAGACTAATTACATCTGCTATTAAGATTTGCCTGTATTTTGTGCATTTTAGGACAGAAAATAATGAATACATCTATGAGAAAATATGTTTCATTTCGGATTTTTGAAATGTAAAAAGGTCTTACAAGAAAGAGCAAGTTAATTTCTTAATTTAAGAACATAAAATAAATAAATTCATTGAAAAAAAACCCCATACAAATAGGTGGATTTCAGAATGAATATATTAACGGAGAAAAAATATAGTTCAATTCTATTAAAAATCCATTTTTTTCCTTTCAAATTTTAGAAAAAAATTATTTAAAAAAATCTCATTTATAATTTAATAAAGCATATATACCTGTCTCTATATTCCAGTAAGTGTTCATTAATCATTGTTTGTACAGCAATTATATGTTTTCATAGTTAATTATTTGTTTACACAAAAAATCCATCTATTCCCACAAAAAATCTTACCCTTTTCTACCTGATTTTCAAAAAGTGGGAATACGTAGAATGAACCGCTTACGAGACTAACGCCCAACCTTTGGCAACTATGATCAGTGCCCCATTTTAGATCTTAATTAAAATTGCAATAATATCAAAAACATTCAGTAGATGCAGTTACGTATCAATATTCCTCAGGGGAAAGGAGGGTCCCCCCAAAAAGAAATGACAAATAAATATTAATTAAATAAACTGGTACATGTAAAACTTCCTCTGTAAAAGCGATGTTAGGGATCTTTCATGTTAACTTTTCAGAAACTTTTTTTTCACTAAATAATTAGCCAGAGTTTGGTGAATATGCAAGAAAAAGTGTGTTTGGGAGGGAGAATGCAGCCAATAGATGCATTTTCATATCAAAACATCTGCTCGTGATTTTTTTTCCACACAAAAAGTGGAGAATCCAACATTTTGTCCCCTTTTCTACTTCGGTCCTTAGTTGAAGTGAAAAAAAAATCTCAGTCCTAATTTAAAATCATGTTAAATCAATATCAACTGAAATATAACTGATATTTATATACAATATAAGCATACAATCAGGAATGAGGGCTTAATTATCATTTTGAAACATCATGCACCAGGGCCATTAATTGAACTTAGACGAACTCACTCCTCCATGGCACCTGATCCCATCTCTGATGTTTCGGGGGTCCGTGTTTGCTCTGCTCTTATGTTGTATTGTTTTATGGACTTTTAGACTGAATACTGTTCGTTATCTCCATATCCTTCTGTGAACAAGTAAAAAAGGCTGATGCACTCCTTTTCTTTTAAATTTTATTCGGATTCCTTAGTTTAATTCTGCTGCGCACTATAGTTCTACTCTTTTATTAAATCTTTCGATTCTTCTTATAGTTTTACACTAAAAAAAGTAATAAGTCAGGAATAGTGAAACATAATTTTAAATATCAGATAAAATGAAAATACGAAAGGAAGCAAAAAAAATAAAGAGTAGGTCCGTAGGAAGCAACTTCAGTTGGGAGGGGGGGGGGGGCAAAGCCATACATTTTCAGTTTGGGGCAACTATATATCAACTACGCCCCTCCCCTTAAAAAGAAGCCATCAGACTTTTTTTATTGAGGGGGCACAAGCATATAAATGTATTAGGTATGTTTTCTATAGTATTCTTTATATCGGCAAAATTATTGGGGCACGGCACATCGCCCCTCCCCGGATCTTGGAAAATATATAAACAAGAAGTTAGAACTAAAATAAGAAATAAAAAATGAAGTCGTTGAAATTTATTTAATTTGGAAAAAAAGTTGTAATAATAATGTTTAAAAAATGAAACAAGAATTTTAAAAAAAATATGCCACCGACAGCCCTCCATAGTTTCTTGCAATCAAAATTCCACAAACATGTAGACTTTGCATTTGTAGAGTTGTAAATTGTCTTTCTGTTTTATTCAAAGCGCGGAAATATAAATTCCGGAAAACAAAGTATACAACATCAAACATACACACATTCATAATTTGAATTTAAAGTCAACATAGTTGTATGTTCAGAACTACATGCTTGGATGTCTGCATTACCTACTTACATATGTATACTAGAAACTGATACGATTACAAGTTTGGATTTACAAACTTACAAGATTGCATTTACAAAGAATGTTTCCACTTAAGCATAGTGCCGTGGCCCCTTTTTGGACCCCTCTAACTTTATCTAATTAACTCAAATCTTAATAATTTTACACCGATATTTTGTTATAAGTGTGGTACATCACTTTCTAAATTTTCATTGAAAACGGCGCTTTAGTTTTATTTAAGGTAATTAAAAAAGCCCTCTAGTGGAAGTTAATTCCGGAATGTTGCGCTTGTCCAAGTTAGGTTTTAATTGTGTCACATTAATATTCAGAGTAGGCGGGGCATTTTATCGATCGATTGAAAACATGTAATAGCCAGTTATAATGGCTACAAAATATACAGAAAAGTAAACACAAAGAACTTCTCAAGCTTTATGCCATTTTTTTGTTGTTTGATTTTTTTTTGGGGGGGGGGGGGGGGGGGGGGGGGGGGGGGGGGGGGCGCTGGGGGATCTTGCGCGAGGATGTATATGTAATCCCTCCCTAAAATTTAACCCAGATTTCCCCCTCAATTTTAGTCGTTTCTAGGTGAAAATTTAACACTCAAGATAAACGGATAAGGAAGGCTACAAGTTTGTAAATAAAAACAGAATAAAATCCCATTAAAGAAAAAAAAACTTCTTTTGTATTTTCTAAAAGTCGAATTTATTATCTCTCTCTCTCTCTCTCTCTCTCTACATACTTTTAAAAGTACAGTAAATACTTATAGTACATATAATGGTGTACAGAATTTTTGTGTTGTTGTGATGCTGCGTGTGGTTATATTTTATTACTAAAACAATTTTATTAATTGTATGTGTGATTGGTTTGTTTTTTTTGTTTTGTTTTTTGTTTTTCTGCTGTCTTGTTTTTTTTTTCTTTCGGGGGGGGGGGTGTCCCCCGGTAAATTGCGCAAAAATAAAGTACAGAAAGTAGCCTAATGAAATTAATAAAGCAGTTCTTCTAGGTCTTAATCACAACTTTGAAAAATTACATGAATTAAAAGTAAGTAATAAAAAAGAACGAGGCTATGTTTTGTAAGAGGGGTCACTGCAATTCATGAATTTCCATTGTTAATTATTCAAAGTTATTCCGATCTTTAAAGCTGGAATACATGGTGAGCGCATTCTTGCCCAAATTTCTCAAAAGGACAGAAGGTGTAGAACTATTGGAAATACAACATATTTAAAGGAGAATTTTGGGCAAGGGTGCGCTCGGGGTAAACTTTTTGAAAAAAGGTACAAAACGCCGGCCGTTTTCTTCACTATTTACGGGTATTTACATGTCATTGACCTAATTGTGACCTGTTTAGTATTCCAATATATCACGTGATTTGTAGTCTCAGGTAATTTTGTGAATACAAAGAAATCAATAAATCATGTGGCTGTAGCTCAGAGTAGCTCTTTAGGTGTAAGTGTATTGTAAAGTTTGTAATAGGATTCGATGAAAAAACAATTTAAAAGCAAAAGTTATTTTCCACCTTTGATTGTTACGTGTATTTGTTAGTTCAAACTTCAAAGCATTTTTTATTGGTTGCAAGTTTGAAATATGCTGTGAGAAACGTTACACAGAGACAAAGAGGTATTAAGAGTAGTTTTCCGCTATAATTTCAAAATGGTTTGTTTAGATTATTTTAAATGTTAAAATTATCTTCAAGTTGGTATATTTACCTAAATACTCGTAGAATTTATATTTTTTCCTAAATTAAACTAGGATTTTCTTTATTTAAAAGCATTTTTTCAAGGTTAAGATGAACAATAAATTTTCAGCTTTAAGTTCATAAAAATGATTTTGCCTATATATCTATTTGTACCAGGCTTGGGGCGATTTACATTGCAAAGTAATGCATTACATTACCATTACTTCAACAATTTGGGCATTAAATTACCATTAACATTACAATATTTTCTTAAAGTAATGCATTACATTACCATTACTTTAAGAAAGTAATTCATTACCATTACCATTACTTTTGGAGGTTTTATAAACATAGAAATTTATACAAAACTTTGCGATTTTTCTCCCATATAAAGTATATATCCACCCCCTTCAAAATTCAAATTTGATTTCAAGTTTTTGTATACACTGTCAAAAACTTACATTCACAGAAAGTTCAAACTTTTAAATTATTAGTTATATATGACATGTGCAATATTAACTTTTTCTTTAACTATTGATGTCAAGAAGCAATTTAACTTTTGGGGCACTTTAAGTCTTTAACCCCTAGCTGCTGAAAGTATCTAATAATAAAACATATAGGCTATTTTGATTAGTACCTTATGAAAAAAAATGAATGCATTGACAAACTTTTTGAAAAAGTAGACAGGATGTTCATTTTGATCTGCTAATCATATTATGCCTGCATGCCTTCTATTTTCTTTGGTACAATGAAATTTTCATGGTCAGTACAAGCTAGCAGACCAGCTTAATTAATGTTTTGTAAACATAGCCAGGAGAAAGGGATTGGTAATTTGGAGCATTTCCCCAAAACAATACATTGTTTAAATTGTTACAAAACCCAGAGGCGTAGTGTTTTTTGATGACACTCTAGATATTCAAAAGGTGTCAATTATGTGTTTACACTGTACATTAATTAGTGTATCTCATATGTGATTTTTTTTTAAAAAAAAGATCTTTTAAAACTATTTTATATAATTCTTTGAAATCAATTCTTATCTGAAATAAGTTTGAAAAGTGTACTTTTAACAGAATAAATATAGATACAGGAATTTTATTTAAATACATGTAGGTAAATTTTTAATTGAATTTTATCATTTGCAAAATAATGAAAATAAATCAATAAAAAAAAACCCTAAACAATAATTTCCATCATCCATGTCCATTTAAATTTCTTAAAATAGGTACATATAAAATAATGCTTTGTAACGCAATGTAATGCCAGCATTACACTGGATTTTATTTAGTAATGCATTACCATAACCATTACATGTAATGCAAATTTTTGGGCATTACACATTACTAGCATTACTTTGAGTTCATGTAATGCAATGCATTACCATTACAATAAGCATTACCCCAACCCCAACAAATTTTGTACCTATACAAAATTCACTCTAATTACTTTGGTGTGTATAAGTAATTCTTCTTGAAAAATTGTTAATTTCATGTGGTCCCTTGTGAGGAGTTGGAGGCGGAGTGGTTATTCAATATATAGTAAAATGAATTAAGTCTTCTCCTCTGCACCTGGTTATATATTAAGCCAATGAAATAAATGCAAGGTTATGATGAACAAAATGCTTCTCCCAAAATTGTGAAATGCATGACCCTAGGATCGTGACTTAGAGCTATTGGTGGGTGCGACTGATGCGAGAGGAAAGGTCACTCCTGTATGGCTCCTGATACAACCTCTGTTTTCGAGTGTCCGTGATTGCTCACAATTTTTATTGTTCATTGGACTTTGAGCAAATCTGATGTTTTGAAATGTTTATTTCAAGCTTTGGGTAAGATTTGTATTGATGTATTATTTAGTTATGGTTATACCTACTTTTTCCTGAGATTTGTTAGAAGACACAAATGATATTTTGTTTCTTAGTACGTCATCTTCAATCATGAGAAAATACAGAACTCTGATTTTTAAATATATAATTGTATATTTTGACATAGAAGGCAAAACATATTTTTGTTATGATAAGTGTATTACTCAAATAATAAAGGGAAATCGGAAATGCACTTTTGCTATTCTATATATGCTATATTGAAACAGATGCTACATTTTTGAATATGTAAAGAAAGTCAATACCTTGCAGTTGATGGTCCGCTTAAAATCGATTGGGTTGTAAGGTTTGATCTAAAACAAACGAATTTAAGTATTTATAAAAGAAAAGAACTAAATACATGTATGAATGATATTGCAGCACCCATAACTTATAGAAAAGAAGTTACCCAGGCACAGTTATACACGTGTTTTCTGCCAAGTAGCACTGCTTTTTTGTCTCGATCAATAAACAACTCGGATCTACAAAATATCGTGAGAAAGAAATGTATTAGTGTCCCCACCTTTTTTTTTTTTACATAAAATGCCATTTCAAAAGGGAAAGAACAATATCTTACTCACATTTTAAAATAGCATCGCTGTCAAAATGCACATCTGGACACCCATCTTTAAATTTCGAACAATTATAAGTGTCCAACAGAGTACTGTGAGTATTTAAAACGACACAGTTTCCTGTAAAAGAAATATGACGATATAGAGAGCAGAGAATCAAAAAAGGTTAAATGTATAAATGCACCTTAATTATACATCCACATATACAAGAATAGAAGAACTTGCAGGAAAAATTAAAGCCCAACTTTGGAATTATTTTGGACTTAATTTTAATATAAATGAAGCGCTGTCACCCGTGAAATTCGATTTGAAACCAAAAAAAAATTCAAAGTACTGAGACAGTACTGAAAGAATGTCAGACTGCTCGGCCCAACGACTCCTCGGCCCACTGATATCTCGGCCCATTGACACCTCGGCTCCAACGGCTCGGCCCAAATTTGAAGACACCTCGGCTCACATAAAAGACACCTCGGCTCATACATAAATATATTAGTTTAATTAAATATATTTATTATTTATGCTATTATATATCTATGAAATGAAAAAGAAAATTAATTTCATACATTAACGATCTTCCAAGACGGCAAATTGACGGTAATTAAAGAAAGACAACCCTTTAGTAACTTGAGACGGGGTCAAAATAATTTTCATGTTAGATTTCACAAATGTGATTTTTTTAACGAGTTTTGATATTTTTTTAAGGATACACCAAAGGCTTTTTTCAAGATTTTTGTCAATTTTGAGATTTTTGGCTAAGAAAACAATGCTAATCACTGCTTTATAGTGCATGAAAAATTCTTGCTGATTATTGAATGGTTTTCTAATTATTTAACAATAATCAAACATAAACACTAACACATGTGAATGTGCCGTTATTGAACCTTCTGAATTGGTCTGTACATGCCTGCTACTGAAAGGAGCAATAAATCACTGTGACCACTTGGGGAATTCTTCACTAGCCACACAGAGGCTATCAGTAATTAAACTACAGGAACTCTAGGTTTAGGGAAGGAGATCTAACAGGTCACTAATGACCATGAAATAGAAGATGGAGCTTAGCTCTTGCCATTTTGCCGGGAAATCTCTCTGATTCAGAATTGAACCTATTTTACTTCATTAAAAGCACCTAAATAAAGAACAGAACCTCCCATTCTTGTAAATATGCATAGGAAATATGGATAAGTGACAGGTATCCAAGGCTGAATCTCCAAGGTGTCATATATTTCTAGCTTTGGCAGACTTTGTTGTGTAATGGGTTTTTGCTCTCTACTGTAAAGTAAGATCAGACAGTTGGTGGTATTATTTCAAAGGATTCAGCTCCCTTATTTATTGACCAATTTCTCTGAAAACTGGCTAGATTGTGTCTCAAATGTTTGTTCACAAAACCATATCTCAGATTTTTGATATCTTGCTCAGTTCTCGAATTATTGGGGGAAACGTAGAATTCGGCTAATAAATTGGTAACATTGAAGGACAAATGGATGTAACTTTTGAATAAGAAGATTTATCAAAAATCTGAGATACGGTTTTAAAGTTCAATCTTTAATCTACATTGAAGCAAAATTTTGACTTTGATAGGTGGAATACAAAAAAGTTGATTTATAAAATATGAATGCACTAATATTTACATTAAAATATTAATAACTTTGAAATAAGATAAAAATGAAAATTTAAATTAAGATCATTAAATAGTAAATTTAAGAAGCTTTCAAATGATATATACTTTTAATATGTTATCTTTGTTAATGAAAGAATTACAAGCAAATTAAATTTTGCCCTTTGGAAACCTTTGGTGTATCCTTAAATTAACATACTAAAAACGATTCTATGAATAATAGAAATTCGACTTTTTCATTTAATTTGAAGGAGACATTTCAATAATTCTTAAGTCTAGAAACTTTTTGAACTGTCCGAATTTCACCTGGTCCGAATTAATATTTTTCCAGAAGTAAACAATGGATGATGCGTACGCAGTCGTAATATTACAATTAATATTTTGAGTTTACGTTTAAAAAATAATTAATTTGATTTAGAAAAAAGTTCATACCACTTTATTCAGTTTGATACAGAATGTTTACATTTTGATCAAAATAATTTCTGCACTCTTTCATATGTGTAGATTTAATCCATGTGTTATCACCACGGCTTCCTGTTCGAGGGCTCTGACAGTACACTTATAGACGGGGTCACGTGACCCCGTCTAAAATTCACCTTTAAGGGGTTATTCTTCATATAAATTCAACACCTATATGCACTGTATGTTTGTTTATAATTGAAAAATTGAAAGCAACAGTTACGAAACATTTTTTGGAATGCAGGATTTACACTTTAACTTGAAATATGATGGAATGCAAGACTGATCTTTGTTATAATTAAGCACGATGTTCACAGAAAGCTCTGATATAGAACGGTGTTCACAGTATCTTTTCCTTTGTTGCCAATTTGAAATTTAAAGAACTGATTCGTTAGATTCAAGAATATCTCTACGTCGCTAACAAAAAAATACTATCGTTAACCATAGTAAATACTTTGATACTTTGATTTCCTATGCAATTTTACTTAAGAAATGAGATTTCGAGACTAAATATCTTTGAAATACAATACCTTAGAATCAAATTTTTAAAATAAGAAATGATTATATAATATCATAATATCTTCTTGTAAATAAAAAAAATGTGCATGTATGCATTGGAGAAAAAACCCCCATAAAAATATGAAATCCATGGTAATACATAATTTCATTCAATATAGTAAAAAATACTATAGTAAATGTAATAATAGATTACTATAGTTAATTATAGACCTTTTTTGTTGGGAGTACTTGCATTATCTAAAGTAATTAAATACGTTTGCTAAGGTTAAAAAAAAATAGTACAACATGAACGCCAAACATTTTATAAATTTAAGGGATTCTTTTTTGCAATAAGAAGTTTATCTCTTTCGGAATAAAATTTGATTTCTATACCTTTCGGCACCAAAGGTCGAATATGATCGTAACAAAATTCCACCAAGGTTGTTAGTTTAGAGTCTGGCAAACAGTGATATCGGTAAAGCTTTTTGTTGTAATGCAGAGAACAATTTAATCTCTCGGATGATTTTCGCCATTCGATGTCATTTTGAGGACATGAAGTCACACTGTATACCGGAAACCTGTCCTGCAGAATAAAAAATTAATTGGCATACTTAATTAAAAACAGATAAAATAAATCATGGCAGATATTTTTGGACCTATTTTTATTATAAATGATGCAAATAATAAATGTATAGAATATCGAGACATTTTAAACTTTCTCTGATGTTCAGAAATTTACCTTTCTACAACCATCCATAATTATACATATTTGTATAGAATTTTTTGACACTTTGAATCCCATTATTTTGAAACTAGAAATGAAAATTCGGAATTATGCGGATTAATTTACTAAAATGACATAAATTAATATTTACGAGATTTTATTTAAAAAATGTCTTTATATCATATGTCTTTCAAACAACTATACATAATGAAGTCTTAGTAATAGTGATTTTACAATTGACGGCTGACTTAAACAATTTAATGGAATAAAATCCAAACATGAAAAGTGTATATTGAAAGACATGTTACATCTCATAACAAAGTTCTATAATAAACGTGATGACTTTAATTTTCCTATCGTCAACTTCCATAACCTTTGCAGCAATATTTCATCATCACCTGCATACGAAGTATATATATCTCAATTGATTCGATTCGCAAGAGCATGATCTACCTATGAACAATTTCTAAAAGGAGGTAAAATATTGACGAAAAATTTGATGAAACAAAAACTTAAAATGTCTCGTTCAAAGTCATCAATTCTCAAGTTTCGTAAGTTCTATGGTCATTACAATGACCTTGTCAGCAAATACAATTTATCATTGAGTCAGATGCTGATGTTTTCAAATTATTGGTTAGTCCATTATTTATACACTGAATTGACGATGGATTATTTCCTTATTTCCCGATCATGACAAGGAGCACACAGCGGGTGTGACCGGTCGGCAGGGGATGCTCACTTACAAGACACCTGATCCCACCTCTGATGTTTGGAGTGTTGTGTTTGCTCTGCTCCTATTATGTTTATAATGACCTACCAATTAGTATGAAAACCTTAAGTCAACTTTTTACTTCATGATAGATTGTATTTGCTGACAAGCTTAATGCATCAACCACAACATTTGCGAAATAATGATTTAAACATGACTGTTGATATCTTGTGTCATCAGCTTGTTTGCACATAGGAGAATTTTCATTGGAGATCACTAATGCATGTGTATATCATATACTGAGAAATAAAATACTTTACCAATGCATTTTCTATGAAAGTAATATCACTGCATTTCTGGGAAGGGAGAGTCCATGTTATTCGGAGTAAGATACCCTGTGTTATTATTATACCCAAAATTTAAAAAAAAAATGCAGAAACAAGTGCCTACGGTTATCAGAACTAATTTTTTTTTTCAATTTAAAAAGTGCAAAAACTTTGTTATTGAATAGACACCACCTTTTCACTTTGTTTTGAACTGGTCCCTTTAAACTGTTAAAGTCAGCCGTCGATTGTAAATGTAAACTTCTTTAAAAAACTCAAATAGTAATGAAAAGGAAGTCAAATGCACAAACTTTGAAAAAGCAAAAATATTAATATCGTGTGATCAAAAACAATGATTAATCATCCATTTAGTAATCATTTCTTATTATTTACTTATTAAGCAACCTATATAAAATATACCATATAGCTTAGATACTTCTTGGGGAAAAAAATAAATGTGGATAGTACTTAAATATCCAATTTCATAGACCAAATTTTAAGGTTAAGAACCATGTATAGCAGTAAACTACTCCTCTATGTCCGCTTAATTATCGTGAACCTTTTATATATTTATAGAAATATTTAAATTTATAAATAATGTTCCTTAAGATTCTTTACAAAGAGGAAGACTGTCCATTTTCTCATAAACTACCATGGGTGAGCATGAATCTCTCATATATTACGTAAGATGCCACACTTGACGTCAAAACCATAGTGCAAACTATTTTGCTTTAAAAATGACAGAGGACTGGCATAAATTTTGTGGCAAGTCGTCAGAGAAACAATGTAAATATAAGAAATGAATTTATTTTTGGAAAATTCATGAGGAACATGTTTATGAACTACAAATCTTCACGCCAGCAAATTTAGCATGAAGGGCGCTTTGCCGGTGTGAAGCGTTGTAGTTCATAACCTCATATATCTTCAAAAATTAAAGTCCTTCTTTAAATGAATGGATTTCATAGAATTCATTGTATCACATAACTTTTCCGTTATTTTACGATCATAACAAGGAGCACACGGTAGATGTGACCAGTCAACAAGCACAGCCCACTCTTCCATGGCACCTGATTCCGCCTCTGATATTTTTGAGGGTCGTGTTTGCTCCGCTCCTTTTGTGTGATGTTTAATGGAATTTTGTCCTTTTCTTATATTTCATACAATTGTTTGCAAAACAAATATTTCAGAACGTATATATCTCAAAATGTTCTATTGAGAAGAATACCGGTAATTGATCATAGATGTGCCTGAGAAAGGCATTAAATAAATGACAAAATCGATGAGTAACAAAAAAATTGATCTCAAAATTCTTAATAACAATACACGTTTTTCAAAAGGGCAAAGGCATCACACATGGATCCCATGAAACTCAGGAGAAGAAAGCAATCCCTGTCAACCGGTTGTATTTTCCTCAAGCCTTCTTTATCATCAAGTTATCTGTAGGCAAAAATAGTGGGCGAAGGAGACTAACAATTGCTGTAAGATATGCAATTCAATATACCGTATTTACTCGCCTATAAAACTAAAGGAGTTATATCCCTTATCTACTAGATAATCAAAACACTGATTTCGATATTTTTCCTCCATCTATTTCTTTTCAACTATGTCAATTAAAATTAAAATACTGTAGATATACTTTTTTTCCGCGTGGTATTAATTTACGCTATGTGCGCGCTCACAAATTCTCCGTGGAAGTTTGTCCTATGGTCCTCAAAAAGAAATGTAGTAAGAGTTTAAAAAATCCGTGTAATGTTCTACCCGCGGACTAAAGAGAAATAGAGATATCGCAGAATTATGACTCCGTGGAAAATAGTACGTCTACAGTATATTTTTATAAATATAATTTGAACTATTTTAGACAAACCTATTGAAATGAAAAACATGGAGATAACGAACAAAGGTCCATAAAACAAAACAAAATAGGAGCAGAGCGAACACAGACCTCAAAAAAATGAAAGTAGGGATCAGGTGCGATGGGGGAGTGAGCATCTCCTTCCGACCGCTCACACCCGCCGTGTGCTCCTCGTCATGATCGGGAAATAATGGGGGAAAAAATCCGTCGTCAATTTAGTGTATAAATGATGGACTAACAAATAGTTTGAAAAATGTCAGTCAGCATTTGACTCAATGATAAATTATATTTGCTGACAAGGTCATTGTATTGACCATAGAACTTACGAAATGATTACTTTAAACGAGACTACTTCAGTTCTTGTTTCATCGAATTGTTCGTCAATATTTAACCTCGTTTTAGAAATCGTTCATACGTAGAGCTCTTGTGTAGGGTTAGGGTTAGGGTTAGAGATATATAAGATATAAGATATATGAACTCCGTATGCAGGTGATGAAGTCATATTGCTGCATAAGTAAGGGAAGTTGACGATAGAAAAGTTAAAGTTATCACATTTATCGTTGTTCTTGTTTGTTAGATTACTAATTACGTCTTTTTTAAGTAAAAGATCCAAATATATAACATGTGACAGACTCTGTGGTATACTTTATCTCAAGCTCATCAGAATATATCGAATCGACATAATAATGGAAATTACCATTGTTAATTGACAATACGTCGTCAATATATCCAAATGACGAGTTGAAGGCCCCAACAAGGGTTTTCTCCTTTTCACGTTTAAGATTTTGAACATATTCTTCTTCTTGAATACAAAAATGAGTCTGCTAATAACGGGACGCAACTGGTTCGCATAGGAATTCCAAATCATTGTTGGAAGATTTGGCCTCCAAATATTCATTCATATTAAGTGTTTCGGGCCACCAATGTATAACCTTATGATCATTCTTTGAATTTTATAATTATGTAGGGCTCAATGTCCAATCCATTTCATTTTCTCGCTGGGGGAGGGGGTATTTATACAGTTTTATTATTTTTTTTGAATAAGTATAATGATATGGTTAATTATCTGTATCCCTTACCTGATATTGTGTTAACTATTTTTTTGACTTGCCTTTAAGTCGCACATCCAACTTTGAATAAAAAGTCTTTGAATACCGACGTATAGACAAGTACATGTTTATACGGTACGAACAGAGATATGCCGCATTCAGACATGGGGGCACAGAATGTTTTATTAAAAAGCCCCAAGAAAACCTTCCTGTGTACTTCTTTTTTGGACCGCATATTTATGTGTACCTCCTTGGCACATGTTTTGCATTAAAGGAATATCCCCTGCCACCCAACATAATAATAGCACATGTTACTTTAGCTTCAATAAGAGTTACGACCCGTTCAACCGTGTTGAAAAAAATAAAGAATATACATGCCGCACATCTTACACCTATATCCTTAGCATTGGTCACAGCAAAGAATTTTAGCGTCATTACTTTCCTTTTGGCTTGCGCTTATATCCCTAACCATAGCAACGATTTATGATCATTAAAATCCTTTATTTCTGTAATTGCTGTTAAAAATTTGTCTTCATTTCTTAAAATAAGATGAGTAAAAATAAATTTGCTTTTCACAATTGAATACGGTCTTTAAAGGTAAAATGGAATAGATACTCACAGTCCATACTCTCCCAAAAAATAACATTTGAAAAAATCCTATCTCCTATCTCAGTTTGTATAAAAAAAACATCAGTATTGGCTAACAATGTCATTGGATCGACCATATACGGTATAATACAGCAAGCATAAAATGATTACAAAGGGATGCATCAAAAGTATATACTGGCATAATACATTAATACCCGCACAACGATGTTTGCTTCTAACTGCACACTCCTTCATAATTCGATAACAAAGGATAAAACCACAAGAATTTCATATTCTACAAAGTGCATGTGTTCGTTAAATCAAGCATAAAATGCTCAGGTAAACAAGTGGCCCATGGACACCTTATGTAAGCACTGAGTCTTAAATTACAGAATTTGAGTAGCCGGTAATGATGTAAATAACGTTTTTTAAAGAAGGGGGTGTAACGTTTTCGGCCTAAAATTTAAACTAAATTTATCTTTATTTTTAAAACAGCATGTTGAAATTAAACTGCATATCAATTTTGATGAAATTACACAAAAATGTATTATATGTAACTTTCATAATTGATCAAATTGTGAAAAATGTGATCGGTATTTGGCTAAAAGTCCTCTCCAAACACCCGCTCCGATCACTTTTGTAAAAAAAAATATTCCCAACAACTTGCGTTCATTTTGAAATAGAGAGCAAAACATTATGTTAAAACATCTTTTGCACTTGTACCATATATATTCAATGTACTTTCGTATTTCTAGATTTCAATCACCCTTCAAGTACCTATGTTACTAGTCATCATCGTTTGTCTGTTTGTTGTTTAACGCCACTCTCGAGAATGTTGAACACTCGTATGGAAACCTCACCAGTTGCCGGTGGATAACTACAAATTTTGACTGAGCGCGCAGTGAGGGGTCTTTTTAGTGCCAGTACTTATTGCGAAACGGGACGTTAGTTTTTATGGTCCCATTCGAAGGACTGGTCTCCATGGATTTGACAGCTGGATTCGAATCCACGAGACATAAGGATCGACTTCGTAATCTGAGTGGTTTATACCTCATCATATCAATAGAAATTGATTCATTGTGTGTTTAAATTGGATTATATCAAATGAAGTTGACATTACTTAAGATAGTACCAGTACTAAGTACCAGTTTAGGTATAGAATAGGGTAAAAACAATCTGTAATGCAAGTGGTTACATTATTGTCTAAAAAATTAAAGATCATTGGACATGCTAGTAAGTTATTAAAAAAAGTCAAAAATTTGGGAGGAGTCATTTCCATTCCTTTGATAAAGGAATAATCAAATAGTTTTAAATGAGATTTAAAAAACCCAAAGCAGTTCTTGTATTATGAAAGATAAAATTATATAAGGTCCATGCCCCATCACACTTTAAACTTCTCTCAAGTACCACTAGGCAAGCAAAATAATAAGAATGTGCAAATTCATAATATATGTAATGGAGTCAAAGTTGTCCATTCCAAACTCTACTCCTCCAATACTTTTTACCGTGGATTTTATCAAGTTGACTATAATAATAGATCCATGTTGACTAGATACATAATTCTGTTCATCGTTTCGATGTCCTTGAAAAGTTTGGACTTGTTAAGAAAAAAAACTTTGTCAATCTATTCGATACTCTATCTAAAGTTTTGTACATAAATCACTTTTTTTTAAAAATTTTTCATGAACGATGCACCATTTTTTTCTTTTTTTCTTCTTATGTCATCATTTAAAGTCATCATTTCGTACGTTCTATAGTCCATACAATATCTTTGTCAGCCTTGTCACTCCTTCATAAAGTCAAATATTGATTGATGTTTTTTCATGCTAATTCACACACTGGATTGTTGACGGATTTTTCCATTATTTCCAGATCATGCAAAGATCCAGATCATGTATGAACTAAACCTATATGAAATGTAACGAATTAGACCTCAGAAAACTGTCCTCATGTATATATTTTTATTGACTACATGTATATGAGTACCTCCGCACATGTTTGGCATTAACAAATAACCCCTGCTACCCAGGATTATTACATCGAACATTTTACTCTAGCTTAAACAAGAGTTACGACCCTTTAAACCATGTAAGTTTAAAAAATGGAATATACATGCCAAATATCTTAGACCTGTATCCCTAGCATTGCTACAGGAAAGAATTAAACAAGAGTCGTTACTCTCTTTTTGTCTTCAACTTATATTCCTTTGCAGAGCATCGATTTAATTATTGCAATTTAAATCTACTAATTTTTGAATTGCTGTTACATATTTATCATCATTTTATAGCATAAGCTGAGTACAAATAAAGTTGCTTTACCTATTGCATTTTTTCTTTAAACATAAAATAAGTAGGTACTTACAGACAATACTCTCACAAAAAGTAATATTTGACAAAATCCTAAACAGAAAGTAATCATTGTAACGGACATGTTTTGTATCTAGTCGCGGAAAATCAATGGTGCATTTTAAAATCACTACGCAGTTCCGCCTAAGAATTAAATTCCTCAGTAGGTGAGGGGATTTAAAAATAATCCTTTCGTTATATAATCGGTGCATGAAACAAAGAAAAATAAGGTGTACGAGGATACGAGGTAGCATACGAGGAAAAAATTATCATGGTGACGTTTCCACATTTGGTAAAAGTGCAAACGATGTTTTAACATAATGTCTTGCTCTCTATTTCAAAATGAACGCAAGTTGTTGCTAATAGGGTGTATGTTTTTTTTTTACAAAATTGATAGGAGCGGGTGTTTTGAGCGGGTTTTTAGCCAAATACTGATCACGGTTTTCACAATTTGATCAACTATGAAAGTGTCATGTTATTCATTTTTTTTTTATTTCATCTAAATTAACATGCAGTTAAATTATAACATTCTTTTTAAAAAATAAAGAAAATTTCAGTTTAAATTTTAGGCCAAAAAAGTTACATCCCCCTTTATTTTCTTAAAAAAAAACGTTATTTACATCATTACCGGTTATTCAAATTCTGGTTATCGAATTATGAAGGAGTTTGCAGTAAGATGCAAACATCGTAGTGCATGTATTAATGGCTTATGCCAGTATCTAATTTTAGATGTATCCCTTTTTAATCAGTCTATAATTACTCTATATTATCGTATATGGTCGATCCAATGAATTATAAGCCAATGATTTGTTTTTAAACAAACTGAGATATTATCATTTACACACTGAATTTTCTTTTTCTTCTTTGTTTTGCCGATCATGACAAGGACCACACGGCGGGTGTGACCGGTCAACACATGCTCCCACCTCTGAAATCCGTGTTTGATTTCTCTCGATTTTTACCATTTCTATGGACGTTTGAGCTTACAATTACACTTCGATATCTTTATTTTAATGAAAAGAAACCGCTACTCCGCTACACGTGCACTATTCTATACGAGTTTGGAAACTTGTTCATCTAAAAATTTGTCGCAAATCACGTGCTTCTTTCTAACTTTAAATCATAACACCAATCCCCTGAATCTTATAGGTTGATACTTTAAGCATTTTTTAATGCTGAATTTACCATCTAATACAAATTTTGACTTATACTCGGCACTCAATGCCACTGAGCGCGCAGTGAGGGGTCTTTTAGTGCCACTTCTTATTGCGAAACGGGGCATTGGTATTTACGGTCTCATTCCAAGGACTGGTCTCCATGGATTTGACAGCGGGATTCGAATCCGCGACGTAAGGATCGACTTCGTAATCTGAGTGGTTTATAAATCATCATATCAATAGAAATTGATTCATTGTGTGTTTAAATTGGATTATATCAAATGAAGTTGACATTACTTAAGATAGTACCAGTACTAAGTACCAGTTTAGGTATAGAATAGGGTAAAAACAATCTGTAATGCAAGTGGTTACATTATTGTCTAAAAAATGAAAGATCATTGGATATCGCATGCTAGTAAGTTATTAAAAAAATCCAAAATTAGGGAGGAGTCATTTCCATTCCTTTGATAAAGAAATAATCAAATAGCTTTAAATGAGATTTAAAAAACCCAAAGCAGTTCTTGTATTATGAAAGATAAAATTATATAAGGTCCATGCCCCATCACACTTTACTTCTATATACCACTAGGCAAGCAAAATAATAAGAATGTGCAAATTCATAATATATGTAATGGAGTCAAATATGTTCATTCCAAACTCTACTCCTCCAACACTTTTTACCGTGGATTTTATCAAGTTGACTATAATAATAGATGCATGTTGACTACATACATAATTCTGTTCATCGTTTATATGTCCTTGAAAAGTGTGGACATGTTAGGAAAAAAAAACTTTGTCAATCTATTCGATACTCCATCTAAAGTTTTGTACACAAATTACTTTTTTTTAAATTTTTCATGAACGATGCACCATGTTTTTCTTGTTTGTTTGTATGTTGTTTAACGACCTTCTTGAGGGATATGTCATCATTTAAAGTCATTATTTCGTAAGTTTTATGGTCCATACAGTGTCTTTGTCAGCCTTGTCACTCCTTCATTAAGTCAAATATTGATTGATGTTTTTTCATACTAACTGTTTGACCATCAATCACACACTGGATTGTTGACGGATTTTTCCATTATTTCCAGATAATGCAAAGGAGCAAAGAAGCGGGTGTGACCGATCGGCAGGGGATGTTCACATCTCCAGGACACCTGATCCAACCTTTAATGTTTTATAAGTCTGCGTTTGCCCCGTTTCAATGTTTGTACTTTTTAATTGAATACAATCTCCCTATAGTTTATGGAGATGCCACTACTTGTCGACGGAAAGCTACAATTTGTGTCCATTACTCGACACTTACGGCCACTGAGCACATTAAGTGAAAAATTCTCGAGAGGGTCGTTAAATTATATACAATCAATGAAACATGGAGATAACGAACAGTATTCAAGATCAAAGTCCATAAAACAATACAAAATAGGAATAGAGCAAGCACGGACCTCCTAAACAGCAGAGGTGAGATCAGGTACCATGGAGGAGTTAGCATCCCCTGCCGACCGGTAACACCCACCGTGTGCTCCTTGTCATGTTTGGGAAATAACGAAAAAATCCTTCGTC